GAGAGACATGGTCTTCCAGGGGTCTTTTCAGGTAACCCACTTCAATATTATGGCATTCTTTTTCTCTGATCTTACTGTAATTGCTAAGTACTCTTTGGCTGCAGGCATTGCATTAGGAATCACAGGACTTGTGGCAAAACCAGCTGCCAGTGTCCTAGAACTTACTGGAAAAACAGCCCAGAGCATACGAAACCGAAGTAGGTTATATCAAATGAGACCACAGCACCTTAGAGTACGTCTTCCTCGTCCTTTAAGCAGCGTACTTCCGCTGCGGCCTTTCTCCTGGGAAGAAGCAATTGGAACATCGGTACTTCTCGAGGCGGGAGGAGATGACATGAAACTCAACGATGAAGTTTTAGTTGCCTGCAAAGCTCTTAAACTAGCTGGAAAATTTGTTGTCATCACTCAGAGTTTAATCTTAATTGTTAGCTGTGCAAGCTTAGTCGACTTGGGCAAGCCTGAATTTCGGGGCGTTGCTGCTGATTCCAAATGGGCGATCGAATCAACCATCGGTCTGGACACTGTAATCTATGCCGATACCAACACTGATGGAGCTGTCGTGCACATCGTCGGAAGCAGCTCTGACTTATTATCAAGGTCAAATACATCTCACCAGAAAAGAGTGATTGGGAATAGTAGTAGGACAGTAAGATGGACTGGTCCAACTCCTCTTCCTATTTTTGAGACAAACCTCGAACTCGAACTCAACGAAGATGCTGAAAATCTGTTAAAGATATTGTTGTCTACAATCGAATTAGCAAAAGAGCGGGGCTGGCACCGTGGTCATGTTCTTCATCGATATGACGTAAAATAGGCCAACGCCTCGTCTAATCCTTATGACCAAGCTTGGCAGGCCAATGAATTAGTTTATGACCAAGTCTATGTAAATGATGTATAGGCGTTCATTCTCTCTAAAGGGGAGATAAATTTGCAGCCACATTGTAAATGGTTTGTTCTGTGATTACATATCTACCAATTCATTTTATTGTTTGAATAAAAGTTGAAAGAAAAATGATCCTTTTTGTGGGTGTGCCTGGATGTGCTCTGTTCTTCTGAACTTGCATGCTTCCTTCGTTCAACACAGCCCAACAAGGTCTTCTAATTCTTTTCCTCCCAAGGCAAAACATGCGAAACATTCCTTATAAGAAGGTCAAAACCTCTCCCTAGCATATGCGTTTTTAAAATCTATACATAAGGGGTCAAAACGGATAATATTTGCTAGCAGTGGACTTGACCTGTTACAAATTATATTAGAACCAGACGTTAAACGGTGTGCCAGCGAGGACGTTGGGTCCAAGGGAGTAGATTTTTAGATCTCACATTAGTTGGAGAGGGGAACGAAACATTTGTTATAAGGGTGTCAAAACCTCTTCCTAACATATGCATTTTTAAAATCTGTATATAATAGATCAAAACGGATAATATTTGCTAGCCGTGGGCTTGACCTGTTACAAATTGTATTATAGCCAGACATCAAACGGTGTGCCAGCAAGGACGTTGGGCCCAAGGGAGTGTGTCAGCGAGGACGTTGGGCTCAAGGGAGTAGATTGTAAGATCTCACATCAGTTTTTTAATTTATACATAATGGGTCAAAACGAATAATATTTGCTAGCAGTGGGCTTGACCTATTACAAATTGTACTAGAGTCAGACATCGAGCGGTGTGCCAATGAGGACGTTGGGCCCAAGGGAGTAGACTTTTAGATCTCACATCAGTTGAAAAGGGGAACGAAACATTACATTTCTTATAAGGGTGTCAAAACCTCTTCCTAACATATACATTTTTTAAATTTGTATATAATGGGTCAAAACGAATAATATTTGCTAGCAGTGGGCTTGACCTGTTACAAATTGTATTAGAGCCAGACGACACCAAGTAGTGTGCCAGTGAGGACGTTGAGCCCAATAGAGTATATTGTAAGATCTCACATCAGTTAGAGAGGGAAACGAAACATTCCTTATAAGAGTGTGGAAACCTCCTTAAGGAGAAACACCAGAGGAAAAGTCCAAAGAGGACAATATATGTTACCAGTAGTCGAGTTGATCTGACCCAAAAGCTAAAATATTCCTCTAATGAACTGCTTAATCGAACGTCTCCTAAACTCGAATACTTTTAGGTAATTTCACTTATTCCAAAAGCACTTGGATTGGGACATTCATTAAGTGTAGGTTATTGGAGAGAGGGCATACATGTGGTGTGTTTGACCCTCTAATTTAAAGGACGGTGGGGAATGATTTTAGGGACATAAAAGACATGGCTTTGTGGGATGCCACTTACTTGACCTAAGAGCTGTAATCAGTTTGAGATATTAGAGGGAGATAGTGGTGAGCCCTTATCATAACATAGTGCTCTATATGGCCTTATCTTTGAAATGATCATCACTTTTTCCTTGCATCACCTTCATATAGCGATTGAAAGCATAGGCTGTCGAGCCACTTGGCCTACCTACAATTCTACCCATAGGGTCGACTTAGACGTCCTACTGACGGTATCGAGTTTACTTTGGTCATGCTTCTACGTGTCGAAGATCGGCTATACGAGGTGATATGAACAACGGAGGCAACTTAATCATGGTGTTGCATGTAATAAACTCAAGGGCTACCTAAGGGAAGATTCAAGTTTCGTATATGAAATTGTGAGATCCCACCTCAGTTGGAGAGGGGAACGAACATTTTTTTTTTATAAGGGTGTAAAAATCTCTTCTTAACAGATGCATTTTAAAAACTTTGAAGGGAACCCCAAAAGAGAAAAGCTCCAAAAGGACAATATCGACTAACAGTGAGCTTAGGCTATTACAGAAATGAACGTTTCGTGCTACTATAAGTGAAGATTCATTAATTTTTGGATGGTTACAAAAGTTCTCGAGTCACTAATTGAAAACTCTTATTCTTAGTTTCTTATTTTTTCAGTTTTCAAAGTTTGGATTTACTTTTTGTGTTACATTTGTTAATGGCTTACTGTAATCATTTAGCTCGAAGGTTATAACTCATTGATACTTCATCGAATGTTTAGGGTTTCAGTTCGGGTTATATAAAGTCACGTAGAGTGAAAGTGATAGTGACAGATTTTGCTTCTTAATTTATGAGTTTCTTACACATATCTTACCATTAGATTTGCACGTTAGAATCATTCAAGTAATTTTGATTAAACTACTTTAAATCTATTTAGAAACAAATTTTATTTATTCTCGATTATTACTATAAATTAATTTTACTCGACGTTCTTCGTTAAGATGAAATCATTTTAATTTAAAGGTTTTAGCATTTATGAAAGAGACTCTAAAAATGACACTTGAGAGAGATGCTTTTTCCTTTTGTTTTTCTTTGTTGACTCCAAGTATATAATAACAACACAGTTTTTTTTTTTTTTTTTTTTTTTTTTTTTTTTTTTTTTTTTTTTTT